CTGATGACGTAACGGCCGTTTCGCCGCCAATCATGGCGCGGGGTGTCCTGGCTCTCGGGCTGCTGGTGCTGCTGGCGCTGCTCGACCTGGAGGCGGCCGGTGGTGAGTGCCTGGGGCGGCGACAAGGCTCCTGAAGGGGGTGAGGGGCTGCGGGGTCCCGGCGGGTCCGCGGTCGCTTTGCCCGGGCGGGCGGATGGGCGAGTGCTGGCATCGAGGCGATGCTCACCACAGCCCCGCTTCTCACTCGGCTTCGCTCCTCTCTCCAGAGGTGCCGAAGGTCGAGGTCTACGCCCGCTTACGGGCCAAGGAGGGAGAGGAGAACACCCTCCACTGCTTCGTCACTGGCTTTCACCCACCCAAGATTGACATCGAACTCCTGAAGAACGGGGAGCCCATTCCCGACGTCAAGTACGGGGACCTGTCCTTCAACGAGAAGTGGCAGTTCCAGCGCCTGGTCTATGTGCCCTTCACCCCCACAAGGGGTGACACCTTCGCTTGCAAGGTGGCACATTCCACCATGGCCCAGCCACAACTTTACCGATGGGGTACGTTGTGCCACCCCTCCTGCGTGCTGGAGCTCCTTGCTTTGTATCCATGCTGTCTCTGTTCCTTTTCCTGGGAAGCAGGGTGTTGGAACAGAGTGGGGTTTGAAGGTCTTGTATTAGAAATAGAAAATTAACTTGGTTTCAGCGGAAAAGGCTTTCACAAACCTCTGAAGGATTCAGGGAGGACACGCATTGGTGTTAATCCATAGGGATTTGGTGATGCTATCTCATCCAATCTCTGCCTTGGTGAATTTAACTAGAAGGTGATGGGTTATGGAGTGAATTTTTGCTTTATTTTGTGTGGATATAAAGAAGAATGCAGCAGTTGGGGCTGATGGTGGTGACCTAGACTCAGATGTAGTTTAGGGCAACTCTGATTACCACATTGGGGCTGTTTCCAGGGGACAACCTTGTGGGGACGGGGGATAGTGGGTGCCATTTGCCCCCAGGTCTAATGCTCTGCGCTTCTTTCCTGCAGAACCAGACTTCTGAGCTGTCTCTGGGATAATTCATGGTGAGTTATTCTAATACTCTGTGGCATGCTGGTAAGGGAAACACAGACCCATTTCTGTAGGGGGGCAGGGTTTGAAAAGCTGAGGAACAGAAGCAACCACACCCAAAAAGTAGATCATATTAATGATGATTTGGGACACAAAACTCTTCCCACACCCTTTCTGCCCACTATTTTGGTCTGATGTCGGCTATCCTGTGCCTACAAGAGTCCTTTGCTCCAAAAAAAGGAGAACTCTGGAAAAAAATCTTCCCTGCATGTTGTTGCTGTGTCAGATGCCGCAGAGAGCTGTTGCAGGTTCCCTAAAGCTCCCTCAGAGTCCAAAGTGCTGTCTCCTGTCAGGGCAGGAGCAGGAAGTCGCTGTACCTGAGATCCCTGTGCCTCAGGGTGGGTGGCAGGCTGGTTAACCCTGTGGCAGGGCAGTGCCATGTGGGACGCACGAGGCACAAACCAGAAAGACTTTTGGGTTTATTCATGGGTGTCTCACTCTTGAGGGTTCCAAGTTCTTCAGACTATCTGTGTGTTTGGGTGTGGATTTAGCAAAGGGGAAATTCTAGTTTAACTCTTGATAGGGAAAAGAAACTGAATATGTGGCTCAGCTGACATAACCCTGGTTAAAACACGGTAGTTATGTGCCCTGTTAGAGGCTGGCTAATGATTAGCCTGGGACAAGACTTGACAGGACCTTTACATGAAATTTCCCAGTTCCTGCGGGGCTCTAAAAAGTTGTATATAGTCACTCCTCTAGTTTGTCACTCACCTTTGGGCAGTGGGGGTGCAAACCTGGCCCCGAGGGAGGGTTTGGAATGCGCTGTGCCCACGCAACACCATGGCTTTGGTCGCTGGGACATTGGCTGAAGGTGGGATGTGGGTGGCTTCACTGTGGTCTGGGGACAAAGGATTTACTGGGCTGGCATGGAAAGAGTTAAGAGCAGGACAACTCCCTCTTGACTTGTTGAACTCTGAGCTCCACCAAGGAGGGGACAGAAAAGCAGTTTCTGCAAGATTTTTACCTGAATCTCTCTGGAAGGTGGTTCTGCAGGGATGCTGCAGTCAAACTGCTCTGAGGAAACTGGTTTTTAGTCCTAAAATAATTACAGTTGAAGGTGCCACTATGTGACTGATGTCAATCTACTCTCTCCAAGCAGGTCTGAGAAATTCTTCTTGCAAGTCAAAGTCTTCTCAAGCTTCTCTCCATTCTTAGTCATAGCCACAAGAGTGATCAACTTCCTTTCAGAAATTTGCCAGTAAGCCTTGATAAAATATCACTTAGCCACATCAAGGCAGCTCTGCAGGCTTTTTGAGCATGTAGCTAAAAGTGCCCAATTAGTGCTTAAAAAACAATAGTAGCTCTTCACTGCTCCAAATTTTGCAGGATGTTTATACCTTAATAAACTGCTAGTCCTTAAAATGTTTCTTCAGAGTCATTTGACATCCCAAACTGATTTCACAGGCTCTGATGGCCACTGGGTTGTGGGTGGATATGTAGCCTTGGTGGTGTGATGGTCAGTTGTGCTTTTTTATCACATTGAGAAGATGCAAGAGTACTTTTCCATCAATAAAAAGAGAATTAAAGATTTTTTTAATTTTTTTTTTTTTCCTGGTGTGGTATCTGCCTTCTGGAGGCTCCTTCGTGGCTCTGAAGGGAAGGCACAAGGGTTAAAAAGGGATAAAGAACCTTGGGGACACATGGAGGGACACAGAAGGAGTGATGGCAGGGAATGGTGCTCACTCCAAGGGGGAGAGCTCTGGCTGAGGCATCTTGGAAAGCTGAGCCTGGGGGAAGCAGATGAGTGTGTCGGTGAATTTCAGTTCTGCTTTTCTCTCTGTGCTTGACCCCATGGAGAAGTGCAGTTGGGGCCGGTCCTCTGTTGTAGCATGGGGGATTGATGACACTGCCCAAAACCGGTGCTACTGCCATGAGCTCATTTTTATTTTATGAAGAAATCAGAGTGATTGCTTGAGGAATACTGGATCTAAATGGATTTAACCAGGATCACGTGTATGGGATTAAGGGTTCCACTGGCTCAGGGCATCCTGTGTCTCTTCTTGCTGTGATGGTGTCACAGACACTTTAGATTTGTGATGGACATTGTCTTGTTCCATAGCTATTTTCATTATAACCAAGTTGTTGTTTTGGTTTCTTTTTTTGGTTAGGGATTAGGAAAATCCAGGCTGTTGCAATTCCAACACTCACGTGGGAGGTTGCTGAGGGGCAAGGCCCCGTTATAGGGATCCCTTTGGGTTCATCAGAAGGGTGTTCAAGGCAGGACAGGTGGGGCTGTCATGGCTGGGTGGTTGTGTACAGTGCTCATCACTCAGCATGGGACAGCAGGACACAGCACACAGCTCTGGGACCAGACAGCCCCAGCAGTGGGCCCTGTGTGAGAGAAGGTGGCCTGGGAAAAGGTGTCAGCTTCTCTCCCAGAGACCTCAGTGGAGCAGTACAGACTGGTGTGTGAGCCCAAGGAGCTGTGGAACATGTCCTGGCCTTCTGCCGTGGATCATGAAGGGCCACTGTGGTGCTTTCCACCACCTCTCCTCAAGAGCACCAGAATAATGGCTGGGTAACCACTCCACCAGGAGAGCTTCATCCTAACTAGGACAGGAGTGGAGTCAACTCAGAAACGGAAGATTCTGTTGAGGCAATGTGAAATGACCCTGTGTACAAAGGAACTTCATCATCATCGCCATCTTCCCACACTGGAGAAGTCCGCCCTGATTGCATCCGTGGGATTTTTCTGCTCTTGCTTAAGAAATATTTTGATGGTTTACTCAAAAATCCCCTCTCTTTGGGGGAACAGCACATGCCCACACCAGAGGCTGATTTTCTTTAACAGCTGGATTTCAGAACCATGTCCAGAAATACTTTCTCTGTTTTATCCAGCATCCTTGGGGTTCTGAGGTATTTGGGATGTTGCACTGCTGCTGCTGCTGCTGGCAGTTCCCAGGAGATGGGGTATCCTGAAGGATATCTTGGGAAGCTTGAAGCATGAAACAAGCCTCATTTGTGCTTTACGAAATACAAGCAATTTTTCTGCAAGCAGTTTCCAGGGTCAGCAAAATGCAAGGTTTTTTTTTTTTTGAGGAAAAACTAAGAGAAGATGTTTCAACTCCTAACTCTGCACAGGATACCCCGATGCCTACCCTGCGCCTTGGGGCGTTGTCCAAGGGCCCTTTGAGCTTTGTCAGGCTGCCATGAACAGGCCGGGAGCTGTTCCAGTGCCCGGCCACACTGTGGGGGAAGAACCTTTCCCTAATATCCAGCTTAAAGCTCCCCGACCCAGCTCCCGCCGTTCTCCCTCTCGCCGGGTTTTCCCACCACCGCTTCCCCTCAGGGCAGGTATCGCCTTCGCTCGAGCCCCTCAGGGCCGCTCCCGCCATCGTCTCCCCTCAAGGCCATTCCCGCCATCGTCTCCCCTCAGGGCCGCTCCCGCCATCGTCTCCCCTCAGGGCCATTCCCGCCATCGTCTCCCCTCAGGGCCGCTCCCGCCGCGATGTTCCGCGGACACCGGGCTTGGTTCTCGCAGAGCGTCAGCCCGGGCCCGCGGCGGCTCTGGGGTGAGGGAACCAGGCGACGACCAGGGATGCCTCGGGGCACCGAGCTGGCAGGAATCCATGGGTGACACAGCCCTGTCACCATTCAGCGGGAATTAGGAGGGGAGCACAGCCCCATCATTCCTCAGCAGGGCACAGCAGTAGCAGCACAGCCCTGTCATCCCTTCGTGGGTCTGAGACCCACACAACAGGGCAGGGCATGAATTTGGCCAGTCCATGGTGCCTCCACACTGAGGAAAAGCCCTGAACAACCCTCAGGGGAGCAATGGCAGTACCACAGCCGTGGGGAGGAGGAAAAGCCCTGAACAGCCGTCAGGGAGTCCTACAGCCATGGGGAGCTATCACAGCTTCCACTTCAGGGCCCACCTCTGCAGCCCCACAAGCAGCTGTCCCCATCCCAGGTCACCCCGAGGTGGGAACCCCCTGGATGCCCACCCTCACCTCACTCCTGTCCCCTGCAGCAGACGGTGGTGGGACGATCGCTCACTGGCTGGATGCTGACTACCTCTTCAGCAGCGATGCCACCCACCCCGACACCCGCAGGTGGGCAAAGGAGGCTTTCATGGATTTAGTGGAAAGTATTTCATGGATACTGACATCGTGTAAAAATCAAGGGGGTGTTTTCAAAGTTGCAGCCTGGATCTGCCAGAACCTTATTGCCATGTGGGGTCAGGAAACTCACACTCACACTAAGCTGTAGATAGACAGAATAGAGAAAAAAACATCCATGTGTTGAGAGGGGCTTAACTGTGATATAAATTAAATTAAGTGTGCTGGTTTCTTGCTGGCTGTGAATTATCTACAGGAAAATTAGCATCTAAAACAGAGGTGAGAGAATTCCCAAGGAAGGAACCTTGGAAAAAGCCAGTGTGAATTAATGCTAAAAGGAAGCACTGGGGTAAAAATGGATGGAAAAGGGCTAAAATGCTTAAAATAAAAAAAATAGAGAGCTATGGAACATTTGTACAAATATAAGGAAAGTTTTCAGGATCTTCCTCGCTTCTTCAATATCAGTGAATATTTAAATTTATTCATTATTTCATCTTGTAAACATATTAATGGGAAAGGAAGCTGAGATGTTTCTTTTAGGCTTTGCCAGGCTGGACTAAGTAGTTTCTTTTTAACACACCAGTGCTTAAAGCTGGCTTCAAATTTTGGAATCTTTCAGCCACCAGCTCCAGCTAAGCAAGGGGAATTCCAATAAGGACAGAATAGCAACTTTTCTTCTGCAACAATGTGCTGCCAGACCAGCCTGTTCCCCCAGGGGAATTCGGGATAATTTTATATATTTATTTATTTATTTATTTATTTTTCAATGTTTCCAATATTTTAAACCCAGCAAACAAGATTTAATTCCCCTCTAAGAAGGACAGTGAGGGCTGGAGAACCCTCCACCTCCACTTCCTTGCTCAGCTGTGTGAGCAGGAACCAGTGTGGTGAAGGATAATTGTAGAAAAATCCTGGCTTTGCCCTCCCTGAAGTAGTTTCACCTCAAGAGCAGAGTGGGACCTTATAATCCCTAAAAATACATTTACCCTTGTCCCTCCTCCAGGCTGCCCTGGGAGATGGTGGCAGCTGGGACTGTAACAGGATGTGACTGGTAGAGTCTCACAGCTAAAAAATCACAGAAAATTAGGTGCTTTTGGCAAAAATATCAGAGCAGGTTTAATGACAACACCCCTCTAAATGTTTTGGGTTGCTTCCAGGTTCTTCTTTGGAAACCAGCTCTCTTTCTGTCTTCCAGCATACACGAGAGCCTCAGTTACTTGGAAGGCAGAGCCACAGTCTTTCACTCCTGTTACCTCTCAGTGTGTGCGGACACATGCGCCGGAGAGAAGCCCTCGGTGGTTCTGGGCCGTTTCATCCTGCCCCCTGCCTGCCTGCAAGAAGGTAAAGCAAAAAAATCATCTGAGGGTATTTTCCCAGGGAATCCCCCATGACTGCAGCCTTGGTGCAAACTAGAACTTGTCTGCAGGGAGGGACTTTTCGTTCAGCTTGGGAGTGGCTCTTCCTCCCAGAGGGCAGAGTATCACCCACCTATTATCACAGAATGGCTTGACCTTGAACATACCCAGGGATCCAGGGACAGCCACAGCTGCTCTGGGCACCCTGTGCCAGGCCCTCACCGCCCTCACAGGGAAGAATTTCTTCCCAATATCCCATCTAACCCTGCCCTCTGGCAGTTTGAAGCCTTTCCCCCTTGTCCTGTGCCTCCAAGCCCTTGTCCCAAGTCCCTCTCCAGCTCTCCTGGAGCCTTCTCCTCTCCAGGTGAGCACCCCCAGCTCTCCCAGCCTGGCTCCAGAGCAGAGGAGCTTCAACCTTTGGAGCATCTCCATGGCCCCCTCTGGATTCTCTCCAGCAGCTCCACACGCTGCTGCTGTTGGGGACCCCAGGGCCAGGTCATATCCATGAGCTTCTCATCCATCAACACCCCCAAGCCCTTCTCCTAGGGCTGCTTTCAATCCATTCTTGCCCACCCTGAATTTGTGCTTGGGATTGCCCTGGCCCAGGGGCAGGACCTTGTATTTGGGCTTGTCCCCAGAGGCACCTGCAGGGCATCACACTGGCAGTGACTGCCACAGTCTGTTCTTTGATGCTCTCACAGTCACTAGTTTTGTTGTTCCTGGCAGAAATCAGAAGCAAAATTGGACGGTTTATTTGGGAGAAGGCAGATGCCCTTGAAGAACAGGTAAGATGAAAAATTTGTATTACACATGTGTGTGCTGGAGGACGAGCCTCAGCTGAGCAGGGAGTTTTTACAGGAATTTAGGGAAAAAAGAGCACCTTTGGGAAAAGGGGCAGGCAACTCAGGAAGCCTTTAAGGATGATTTTAGGTCATGCAGAAAGAAGAAAATTATGGAGGTGAAAGCTCAGTTAGAACTTAATCTGAACTTATTATCTGTAAAGGATAATAGTTGTATAAATACTTTATTACCAAAAGGAGGGCCAAAGAAAACCTCCATTCTTTATTGGAGTGTCCATCACCAAAGACTAGGAAAAGGCTGAGGTACTTAACACCTTCTTTGCCTCAGTCTTCAACACAAAGACTGGTTGCATCAGGGCCCCTGAGCTGGTAGACAGGGAGCAGAATGAACCCCCAGAAATCCGGGAGGAGGCAGGCAGTGACCTGCTGTGCCGCTTAGATGCTCACAAGTCCATGGAACTGGATAGGATCCATCCAAGGGTGATGGAGGAAGAGCTTGCCAAGCCACTCTTCATCATTTATCGTTAGTCCTGGCTTACTGGGGAGGTCCCAGAAGATGAGGTATCAACGTGACACCCATCCACAAAGGTTGGAAGGAGGATTCAGGGAATTCACAGGCCTTTCAGTGTGACCTGTGGCAGGGAAGGTTATGCAGCAGATCACTTTGAGTGCTGTCACACGGCACATACAGGAAAACCACAGGATCAGACCCGACCATGATTTCCTTTCATGATGACAGGACCCACCTGGTGGATGAAGGAAAGGTTGTGGATGCACCTACCTGGACATTAGAATGCCAGGGCATCTCCTGGAAAACTGCAGCCCACAGCCTGGACAATTGGTGTCCGTTCACCAGTGGTGTCCCCCAAGGATCAGTGTTGGGCACAGCCCTATTCAGTATCTTTATTGATGATGTGAATGAGGGGATTATGCCTTAGCAGACACACAGATGACACCAAGTTGCGTGGGAGTCTGGTTCTACTGGAGGCTAGGAAGGCTCTGCTGAGGGACCCAGACAGGCTGGATCAATGGGCCAAGGCCATTTGTATGAGGGTCAGCAAGGCCAAGGTCTAGGTCCTGGACTTTGCCACAGGTTGCTAGGTTACTTTGGCCACAGTATCCCCTGCAGAGCTACAGGCTCAGAGTGGCTGGAAAGCAGCCCAGCAAGAAAGGCCCTGGCAGTGCTGATCAACAGAAACTGATCATGAGCTCAGGTGGCCAAGAGTACCAATGGCACCTGTGACCAGCAGGACCTGGAAGTGATTTTGCCCCTGTTCTGGCCACTGCTGAGACCCCAACTTGAGTGCTGTGTCCAGTTCTGGACCCCTCAATTTAATTCAGGAAGGACATTTTGGTGCTGGAGCAGGTCCAGAGAAGGGAACAGGGGAAGGAGCAGCTGAAGTGGCTCAGCCTGGAGCAAAGGAGGCTCAGAGAGGCTGTCTGGCTCCACACAGCTCCCTGACAGGAGGGGCTAGCTGGGTGGGGGTCAGCCTCTGCTCCCAGGGACCAAGGGACAAGATGAGAGGACACTGCCTTAAGCTGCACCAGGAGGGGTTGAGGCTGCACATCAGAAAGAACTTCTTCCCAGAAGGGATGATCAAGCATTGGAATGGCCTGTCTGGAATGACTGGAGATAGCACTCAGTGCTCTGGTCTGGGAGGGAAGGTGATGATTGGTCACTGGTTTGGCTCAGTGGTCTTTTCCAGCCTCATTGATTCTGATTCCCTGTGCTTGCTGTGACAGCACTGGCAGGATTGCCTCCCTTGCCCAGACTATCCAGCCTCCCAGCAGTGTGCTGTTCCAGGGATTCCTACTGCCACAGGCTCAGCTCAGCCCTTCAGTGTGGTGTTTTCCTTCCCCATCTCACTGCCCACTTCTCCTCTCAAAGCAACTTCCCAGCACTTTTGAAGCAGGAATGCCCTTAGACTTAAATTTTAACTCTGAATTATGCTTGAAATCATGAGCCGTAAAAATCCATGCGCTCAGAGGGTGTGTCCCAGCTGCTCTGCAGGTAACCCAGGGTACAACTGAAACTCTTCCTTGTGCTGATATTCACAGCCCAACAAAAACTTGCCAGAGGAACCAGAAACAGCAAGAAATGGCTGTGAGGAGGAACCAGAGGAGGCACTAGACCTGGTTGAGAGGTATTTTTCTACCTTGGCTGGTGGGATTTGGATGCGCCCTGATTCCAAGCAACCCTAGCACATAGGAACTGACACTGGCTTGGTTTTTTTTGCCTCCTGATACAGCAGTGAAGAAACAGACTCTGAAACACTTGCCCAGGGAGAATTTCCATACCGTGCCCTCCAGGAATACCCGATAAACAACATGGTGACAGGTAAATACACCTGGAAACAGCTGTGGATGGGGCAGATGGAGGGACTCAGCAAGCCCATTTTCCCTCCACAGGCTATGCCTCTGCACGGGACATGAAGAAATATGAGGGGGAACTCCATGACTTTACCCCCGGCACCTCGGGCTATGCAGCGTACTGGGTTCAAAGCAAATTCAGCATTTACTGTGAGAAGACCAAAATGAAGAGGAAATTGTAAGGAACAGGTGGCTGGAGCAGCAAAAACTTCAATGCAAGAGCTGCCAGGTGATTTATAAATTACCTGACTACAGCTCAGTCTTCCCTGTGTTATTTAAGTACTGGCTACAGTTATTACAGTATTTGCTTCTTTGAGTAACTACTTAAACTGAACTTCACAACAAACATAAATACAGATATTTCTCCAAAACCACAAATATTTTCTTTTTATTCTGGGGCAGGGTGGTGGTGGTCTAAGCTTTAACTAGTTTAAGCAAGTTTTCCTTGGAGGAACACACCCAGGTCTCCTTACTTTCATTAATCAAGGAATTTTAAGACTTTTCCCTTTCATTTAAGCACTTGAAAGTGACCAGTAGAGTCAACTTTTATTGTGGCACAGCCTAATCCCCAGGCTGTCCACTCAAAGGAAGCACAGGCAAACCTGGGACAGGCTCCCACAAGCTCCAAGGAGTCACCATGGCTGTTCTCTGCCACGGCCCCAACGGCAGGAGAGCCTCTAAAACAGCTTTGCACCTCACACCCCAAACTGCCAGGAAAGAACCCAAAAAGATGCTGGCACACATGAAGGTGTTGAGTCCTCTGTGTGCTCCAATGTACCGCCCCAAGAACCCACCCTCCCTCATCCCTTGGGTGTCTAAAGACCAGACAGGCTGAGATGGTTTCCTCACGTTTATTGGAAAAGCGACACACAGGGACAGACTCAGAGCGCTCCTCGGGGCGTCTTGAAGTTCATGCCCACTGTGGGCTGTGTCACCTGCAGGTTGGACAAGCTGCCAAAATCCTGGAAAACAGCATGGGAACAACAGGATCAGTCACATCATCCTGCCCACTCTGCAAGGTGTGGGAATATGGTGTGGGCAGCACAAGGGTGGATACAGGTCTCCTAAGGGGAGACCAGTCTGCTCTGGAGATTGACTCCTTGCTAAGGGAATCACCAGAAATGGAGGGCAAGGAACAACCCCACCGTGCTGGTGACAAAGCCCCTATGCCCCTGCCCTTTCAAAAGTCATACATGAATTAATCCTCAGGACCCAGGGCAGAGGGACACATTTGACACCATCCAGCCACTCAGGGCAGCAGGAGCTGTGCCAGGGAAATGCCAGGAGCTGGGCAGGGAACAGCTGTGGCTACTCACCAGGAGCTTCAGCATTTCCTTGGTGTCCGGGTCCACTTCGATGATCTCCTGGTCCAGGGCAGAGACCTGGGGACAGAGGGAAGAGAAAAGGTACAAGTGATAAAGCCCCACAACTACCTGGGTGTCTGCATAGCCACTCCGGTCTCAAACCAGTGCTGTGGGGAACAGTTCCAGCAGCAGAGCCAGGAGCATCCTGATGGAACACAGCTTTCCTGACTGAAGACTGCAAGAGGTCACTAGCAGCAGAGGAAAAAGCTTATTTTATAGCAAATCTTCAGAAACCGAGGCCCAACCTGCTTCAGGCTGAGGCTGCTGAGGAGCTGGCGTTGGACCCTCAACTGCACCAGTGCTGGCAGTGATCAGTGACACTCACAACTGCCTTGTGACACAAATCCACCACAATGCCAACAAAGGCTGTCCCACTTCCAGGACCTGTGCCCTCCTGCTCTTCAATCCCAGAGAAACTTCCTCCAGCCCTGTCCAAACTCTACCTCCGCAGGTTTCCTTCCCCAAGAGCTACGTAACACCAGGACTTTTCTACAAAACCACAAACAGTACAGGTTTGTGTGCTGACACTGCACCAACAGCTGCAGCATGGACACCCCTTCCCTGCTTGGAGTCCCCTCCCTGTAACCCTTCTCTGGTGCCAGCAGAAACCAGCAGCTCTGCCAGGAGCCTCCTGGAAGAGCTGGGAAAGGGGCAAGATGTGCCGTGTCTGAAGGCTACAAGACTGAGGAGAAACAGAACAAGGAAAGGCCTCCTGGACGACCTCACCCAGGTGACAGGTGAGATCCTGACCCCGTTCAGAGGGTTAAGGCAAGAGGGTTTTACCAAATCCCTCCCTCTGAGGAGGGATTTCAGCCACTATGAAATATCCTACTTCCCATCAAATTCTTTTTTCCCCAAGTTTTAAGTTAGAAAACCAAAGCACAAGAAGCCAGCTGCCCTTCCTGTCCCAGGTAACAGCTTTGGAGGGATCAACCCCGGCCCCTTTGATCCAAACCCTCCTCAGCTCGTCCTGGCAGAGGGTTTGTTTTAAAGAAACTTGGGACCGTTTATGGAGATCTGGCGAGGCAGGATGGAGCGATGGGGAAGCTGGAGCCTCACCTCTGGGACGTAGTTGTCCCTCCTCTCCCTCTCCTCCTCCTGCAGTTTGATAGAGATGCCGCGGACAGGGCCCCTCTGGATTCGCTTCATCAGGTGGGTGACATACCTGCAGGGACACGGGGGTGTCCTGAGCTTTCCCAGGGTTCACGTCACCCTTCCCCACACCCCAAATCCTGGAACTACAGCACACCGAGGACAGCTGCCACCATCGACCCCGGCGATATCCCACCACCTCCGGGGACATCGGAGACGAAGTGTCCGACAGCAACAGGGTTTGGGGGAGACAGAGACCCCCCCAAACACGGGAAAACTCTCGCACTGTTCTCCCTGCACTATCAATGACCCGGCCACGGGTGGGACCGTAATCACTTTCGAATGCAGGGGCCAGCAGGAACCCCCAAACCCTGCCCGAATCCCCCAGGACCTTCCAATGCCCAAACCCCCGGGGACACCCCCAGCTGCCCAGAGCCCATCCGGGCCCCCCCGGTACCCAAAGCCCACTCGGGGCCCACAGTCCCTCACCCCGCAATCTTGTTGCGCAGCTTCTTGCTGGGGATGATGGCGATCTCCTCGCACACGCGCTTGTTGGTGTGGAAGTCATTCCCCAGGCGCGTGTAGTACTTCTCGATGATC